AGGGGAGGGAGGGAGGGAGGGGAGGGGAGGGAGGGAGGGAGGGAGGGGAGGGAGGGGAGAGGATACACCTGGATGAGAGAGAAGAAGTTGAAAGAGATCACTGAGAAGACAGCCACGTCAAACAGCACGTTGACTAGCTTGATGTTGGACGTGCTCCAACTCCAGCTGCTTGTGTCTAGCGCAGCCCCGAAGGCCGAGAAGCTGGTGCCGGTGGTGGAGGAGACGGAGGAGTCTATGGGCTGGAGGACGGGAGCTTGAATCTTGATCGGCTCCTTGGGGAGGTCGGGGAGGAGCGCGATGGTGTCCGCAGATCCGAAGGGGCGGACGTCGAGGGCGAGGAAGGGACCCTTCCTGGAAGGCAGCGCGAGCTCGTCGGTGAACGAGTCGTTCCATACAGCGAGCATGATCTCGTAGCTGTCGTACTTGCGCTTGAAGAGCTCGGTGAAGGTGTTGGGGATGTTGGCGGTGACAGCGGTCGAGCCCTGCACCTGCGCGAGCCAGCCGTTGCCGTCGAGGTAGGAGGAGGGGACGCGGGAAGTGTTGATGGTGAGGCGAGGGGTCTGAAGCACCACAGGAAGCGAGTTCACGTCCGACTGAGAGACGGAGAGCGACGAGATCGCTGCCACGTTCCTCAAGACGCTCAACTGCAGAGATTGCGTGACGGTCAGCGCTCGCAGGTGATCCTCCTGCGCAGAGGAGGAGGACGGTAAGAGGAGCCTCCTCCTGCTCTGCCTCGTCACGACATGGAGGGCATGGAGCAAGTTGGTCGTCGCTGCCGTCAGCATCTTGGCAGCCTCCTGCATGTCCACTGCCACGTCACCGAGGTTGTAGCGGTAGGAATGGATGCAGCTGGAGACGATGCTGGAGGCGAAGCTGGTGAGCTCCAAGTCGAGCTCCTCCGGCTTTTCCAGGATCTGTGCTACCACCGTCGCCTGCGTCTGAAGGGTCTCGGGGGTTGGGATGAGCGACAGGTTCGCCTGCTTGAGCGCCAGCAGCAGCTTCCCTCGGTACCCCCGCCGCTCATCCAGGCTCCCCGAGCAGTTGGAGGACGGGGAGGTGAGGCAGGGAGGCACGCGGTTCATGAACATGGCCAGATTCGCGAGCTCCACCTGAACGGCCTGGACGTCAGCAATGCGGAAGAGACGCTGGACGCGGGAGGTGAGGGCGAGGTCGATCATGGACGCGAGCGACGTGGCAGCGAAGGAGGGCGACGAGATGGAGACGAGCCGCGAGAGCTTGGCAGGCGTCTGAAAGAAGTTCCTCACCGTCATCGTCAACCTCACCTGCTGCCCATCGAGCAGCGGCAGGCTGGTGTTGACTACTGAGAGAGAGCCGCGGCTGTAGACGGAGGGAGGTGGCGAGGGAGGAGGAGGGGAGGACGACGGCAGCGGCAAACTCGTACTCCAGCGGCAGATCCTCTGGGTTCGCTCCCCACCCCTCCGCGGCCAGCGAGAAGCTCGTGGTCAGCGAGACCCCAGCTGAGGGGCTGACGACGAAGTCGCCGCCGGAGGGAGGGAGGCGGACGGTGAGCTGCAAGCGGGCGAAGCCAGTGAGGCCGAGCGAGTCCCTGGCGTCGAGGCGGAGGAGGACAGTCTTGCCGGGCACGAAAATGTTGGGTGAGAGGACGACGCGACTGACGGAGGACTTTGACTGGAGCAGCGACGGGTCGAGCATCTTCCTCGACCCCAGGCTCTCGGTCGACCACTCATAGCTCACGATCGCCGTGCTCGCCGTCACCGTCGCGTCCAGCACGAGCTTGTCGTCCGCGTTGATCATCAGGTCGCTCGTCTTCCCGTCCTGGCACAGCTGAGGCTTCCCGAGGTACAAGCTGGAGCAGAGCTGAAGGGAGACGGCAGGCAGGCTGGATGCGCTGACGGTGTAGAACCAGTCGCTGGTGGAGGTCTGCTGGAACCAGAGGGGGGGAACAGAGTCGGTCGGCTTGTTGGGGTCGTAGATGAGGGTGGAGACCATGAGGAGCTTGCGGGTCACGTTGAGCGACACCTCGTACACCTTCCCCGCCTTCAGCCGCCCCGAGCTGATCGTCACCGTCGACCCCAGCTGGCTGACCACCAGGGTCCCCTGCTCGCAGGCGACGCTCTGCTGGGAGGCGCAGAGGAGGGAGGAGGAGCAGTCGCCGGTCAGCTCGCGTTGAGCACAACCCCACGAGTAGCTGAAGCCTCCGGGGCTGTTCAGGCCCGTCATGTCCGCCTCAGGGTCCGTGACCTTGGCGGTGAGGAGGATGGAGGAGGCGGCGGGCATGGGACCCCCTGAGCTGATGCCGGAGAAGGAGACGAGGAGCGGGCGGATGGGGATGGAGAGAGAGACGGTAGCCGAGGGGTTGCCTCTCCTCGGGTCCCGGGCGATGGAGCTCTGCTGAGCCTCGCAGCTGAAGCTGTACTTGGAGTCGGCGGCGAGCTTGAGGGGCAGCACCTGGAGGATGCGGGTGGAGTCGGAGAGCACGAGGCTCGAGAGCGGGAGGGGTCGCCGGAGGCACATGCCCTCCACGCACGTGAGCCCCCATTGGTACCTCAGGGCGTCGGAGGAGGCGGAGGCGAGGCAGTCGGCAGCCTTGGCCATGGCCGTCAGCTGGAGCTGCTGGTCCCTGCCCAGCAGCAGCGCGCGGGAGTCCTGGATGAAGATGGTTGGCTGAGGGACCCCCGAGAAGTAGAGCCAGTTCGTCCCCTGCTCCTTGACGAACCTGAGGACCCCTGTGCTCGTCATTCCCAGCCAGTTGCTCACCTTCAGCTGGAGTTGGTACTGCCCGGTGTTGATGGTGCCCTGCTGGTAGACGGGGAGGCGAGCGAGGGAGGGAGGATACGCGCGCACCTCCTGCAGCACCAGAGAGTGGATCGCAGAGAGCACCAGGTTGACCTCGTAGAGGTCGGCAGGACGCAGGCAGGTGCCGCACGTGTCGTAGAGCTGCTGCCCCTGCGCGTCCACAGCATCTGAGCCCGTCGATTCGAAGGTGTCCGTCTCAGTACAGCCCGTGCTGGGCGGGCCGAGGGGTTCGCAGAGGCGGACAGAGGAAGCGCGAACTTGAAGGCAGTTGGAGGAAGTGAGGACGTTACACTCTCTTCGCAGCTGGGGAGCGGCGCTGTTCTTGAGGCGGATGGCGAACTCAAGGCCGTCGGCGTCGGAGATCGAGTGACCCGAGCTGAGGGTCATCACGAGGGTCCCGTCAGCTGAGAAGAAGCCGAGGGAGGAGACGAAGGAGGGGTGCGGGTTGCCCTGGAGGTCGGCGATGACGGCGCATCTGCCCGGGTCGAGCGGGAAGGCTGGGTTGTCACAGGCGGCACATAAGGATGAGCAGCCCATGCCGAGGGTCCAGCCGGCCGACTTGTCGCACTGGAAGCACATGGGGGGGATGAGAGTCACGCCGGGGGGGAAGAGACCCGAGAGGGAGAGGATGGAGCCCTGGAAGAGAGGAGCCGACGGGACCAGACGCACGATGAGCGAGTTCCACTCCGAGCTGCGAGAGAGATCGTGAGGATATCACAAGTAGGAGGGGAGAGGAGGAGGATGGGAGAGGAGGGGGAGGGCAGAGGTGTACCCGAGCGATGTTGTCTCGCGGACAGTCTTGACGACCCACGAGAGTTTCGCCCCCGCGTTCATGACGAGACCTCCGTCCATGCTGGTCGGAGGGATCGAGACTTCTCCTGTGACCTGAAGCTGAACGATCGCTCCTCGACAGAAGGAGGCGACCTGAGACTGCGAGTCAAATAACCATTTCCTCCCTGCCCTTCTCTTCCTTCCTCTCTGCACTTCTCTTCCTCTCTGCCCTTCTCTTCCTCCCTGCCCTCCTCTTCTCTTCCTCCCTGCCCTTCTCTTCCTTCCTCCCTGCCCTCCTCTCCCTCTCACTTGCCCCTCTTATCTTGTCCCAACATCTCTCACCGAGCAGTCGGGGTTCCGCAGGTAGAAGGAGAAGTCCACGTTCTGCCCGGCCTTGATCGTCGTTGCCGTCACTAGCAGCACGTTGAGCAGGGCAGTCTGATCCACCACCGCGACCGTCGAGCTTGAGGAGAAGAGGCTGGCGCTGGGTCCGACGAGAGCGAAGGAGGAGGAGGGGGATGAGAAACTTCTGAAGCTGGTGAGGAGCATGGAGGAGCCGGCAGGGATGTCGATGTTGAACGTGAGGCCGACGGTGATGTAGTTGATGGCTCGAGCCACTGCAGCTGCTTCAAGAGGAGAAGCGAGATGGAGAACACAATATGGAGGATGACACGATGATAGGATGAGGAGGATGAAGATAAGACGACAGGGCTAGATGGGAGGCAGAGTGAGGA